GACTACAGGCGCGAGACACTGTGCCTGTCTAATTTTGTTGTTGTTGAGACAAGGTCTCACTCTGTTACCCAGGTTGGTTTCAAACTCAAACTCCTGGGCTCAAGCGATCTTCCCACCTCCTTAACTCTTCCCTAACTCACATCTCATCCATCACAAAGATAGGATGACCATTCTACTCCTAAATGATCTGCAAATCTGTTCCTTTCTCTTTCTTCTCAATGTCTCCCTTTAGCTTAGACCCTGAATTTCTCTTCTGGATGAGGACAGCGCCATCTTTTTCCTTTCTGTTCCTAGATACAGTGAGTGATGATAGTGCAATCTGCTATGTTGCAAATATTACAGTCTTAGTAGCCCAGCTAACGTGGTGTGGGTGGAGAGGCAGTGAGAATCATAAGACTGGACCAAAAATAACATAGCCAGAGACTATTTTATGTTGTGAAAAATCACATAATTTATATGGATAAGCTGGGCATGGTGGCTCACGCCTGTAATCCAAGCACTTTGGAGGCCAAGGCGGGTGGATCACCTGAGGTTGGGAGTTCAAGACCAGCCTGACCAACATGGTGAAACCCCGTCTTTAAAAAATAAATTTAAAAAAAAGGTTATATGGATAAAAAGGTGACTTATTACCAGGTTACTCATATATACAGTTAAAAGACAAAGTTTAAAATGCAGAGCAAATGATAATGATGGGACTTTTCAAGGATCTTTTGCACTATCCTTTGATTGATTCCTGCAGATAATGCAATAAATCCTAGAATTAAGTGATTGTGCCTTAGCTTGATCTGAAATACAAACATTTACCAGGAAATAAACATTTCATATATTTATTATTTCATGATACTTTTACCCCCTCGCCTGCTTTGAGACAGAGTCTTATTTTATAGCAGAGGTGCAAACATGGCTCACTACAGCCTCAACCCCCCAGGTTCAAGTGATCCTCCAGCCTCAGCCTCCCACGTAGCTGGGATTACAGACGTACACCACCACACCCAGCTAACTTTTGTAGTTTTTGTAGATGGGTTTTTGCCATGTCGCCCAGACAGGCATGGACCTCCTGGGCTCTAGCAAGCCTCGGCCTCCCAAAGTGTTGAGATTACTAAATTACTGACGTAAGCCACCACACCCTGACCCCCTTGCCCCTAATTTTTAAGAAATGAGTTTGTATTTCAAATTATTTTTCATGCATGACTTTATATCACAAAATATTTGATTAAGTTGTTTTTCTCTAGTTTTAAGTAAACCCGAACATTTTCAATTGATTCAAAGCATCTTTGAATATTTAACAGGTCTGCATAATTGTATCAAATAAAATTTCATGCCATTTCTTATGCCTTATATTACATAGCTCTGTCTCCTGCACTTGTATTTCCCCAAACATTCTGTTCTTCAATGCCTTCATATATGTTGTCCCTCTGCCTACAAAGTCCAGCTTCTTGTCTGTCTCCAAATTCACTTTTGAAGTTCAGTTCACATGCAACTCCTGTGAGTCGCCTTCTCTGTTGCTTTCTATAGAGCACCGATAGCACTGCACTTCATTACTGAGTTTTTTCTATGTTTATCTTCCCCACCAACCTTTGGAGGACAAGTGTGATAGTGTTCTCTGTAAATTTAAGATCTAGCATAATTTCTAGAACATAAAAAGCACTTAAGGGGCCAGGTGCAGTGGGATGCTTGTAATCCCAGCATTTTGGGAGGATGAGGCAGGAGGACTGCTTGAGGTAGGAGCTCGAGACCAGCCTGAGAACATAGTGAGACTCTACCTGTACAATTTTTTTTTTAAGTAGCTGGATGTAGTGGCATGCACCTGTAGTCCCAGCTACTTGGGAAGCTGAAGTGGGAAGATTGCTTGAGCCCAGGAGTTCAAAATGGCAGTGGGTTTGATTGTACCACTGCCCTCCAGCCTGGGCAACAGAGCAAGACCCTGTTTCTTGAAAAACAAAACAAAATAAATAGCACTTAAGAAATAAATTACTGAATGAAGAAATGAATTGCATTAAATACATCACGAGATCCAATTAGCAGTAGTGAGCAATTGATAAGTCAATTGAAGCCAAAATATAGGTAACAACTAATTGTAACTGAATGCCGACTATATATAGGCACCAGACTAAGCCATTTCATGGAGGTTGTTTTGTTTTGCTTTGTTTTTAAATTGACATAGGCTGGGTGTGGGGGCTCATGCCTATAATCTCAGCACTTTGGGAGGCCAGGGCAGGATTGCTTGAGTCCAGGAGTTCAAGACCAGGTTGGGCAACATAGCAAATCCCCTTAACAAAAAAATACAAAGGTTAGCTGAGCATGGTGGCATGTGCCTGTAGTCCCAGCTACTAAGGGAGCTGAGGTTGAGGCTGCAGTGAGCCAAGGTTGAGCCACTGGACTCCAGCCTGGATGACAGCGAGATCACATCTAAAAAAAAAATTGATATATAACCCACATACCACAAAATTCACCCTTTTAAAGCATTCAATTCAGTGGTTTTTAAAGTATCTTCACAGTTTGACAGCAATCATCACTAATTCTAGAATATTTTCAACACTTTAAAAAGAAACCACAAACCCATTAGCAGTCACTTCTTATTGCCCCCTCTTCTCAGCCCTTGGCAACCACTAATCTACTTTCCACATGGATTTGCCTATTCTGGATGTTTCATGTGTATGGGAATCACACAATATGTGGCCTTCAATTTCTGCCTTCTTAGCAGAATGTTGCAAGGTTCCCCCATGTAATAGCATGTATCACTACATCATTCCTTCCCATGGCTGATAATATTCCGTTATATGCATATACCGCATTCTGTTTATCCATTCACCAGCTTATAGAGATTTGGATGGTTTCCGCTTTTGGCCTATTATTAATACTGCTATGAACATCTATGCACAAGATTTTGTGTGGGTGTTGTTTTTTATTTATCTTGGGTATATACTTAAGGAGTAGAATTGCTGGGTCTTATGGTAACTCTATGCTTAACTTTTTGAGCAACTGCCAGACTGTTTTTCGAAGGGGAAGCACCATTTTACCTTCTCACCAGCAATCTATGAGGCCTCTAGTTTCTCCACATCCTTATCCACCCTTGGTACGGACTTTTTGGTTAGAGCCATCCTAGCGAGCATTAGTTTCCATTTCCTTAATGTTGAGCATCTTTCCATGTACTAACTGGTCATCTGTGTATCTTTTTTCAAGAAATGCCTATGCAGATCCCTGGCCCATTTTAAAATTGGGTGTATGTTTTAAATTGAGTTGTAAGAGCTCTTTATATACTCTGGGTACTAGGTTTTCTTTCTTAATCCTCACAATCTCCCTGCTGAAACAGGTAGCTTTTTGTTTCTTTTACAGACAGAGACTAGAGCCTGGAGAATTTTACTACGAGGTGTGACTCAATCTAGACCTGTGGTTCTCCAAAGCCTGTGCCCTTTCCTCTATTTTATGCTGCTTCTTGGTGATAGTTTTAACTGGTCGTAAGATTTAAAGAGTGGCCACACCAGTGGGTGGTTAATATAAAGATGAATGTCATTAGAATTGAGACCAGGATGTCAGAAACATCAATGGATTGCTGAGGTCACTGGTAGTATGTCTCGGTCATTTTAAAGTAAGTTGGAGTACATAATATTTAAGGTTCGGCCAGGCACGGTGGCTTATGCCTGTAATCTCAGCACTTTGGGAGGCTGAGGTGGGTGGATCACAAGGTCAGGAGTTCAAGCCCAGCCTGGCCAATATGGTGAAACCCCATCTCTATAAAAAAATAAAATAAAACATAAAACATAAAAAAAGAAGAAAAGTATTTAAAGTTCTTTCTTACTCCCAAATTCTCTAATTTTGGAATTAGAGAGGAGGCCAAGGCATGTGGATCACCTGAGGTCAGGTGTAAAAGACCAGCCTGGCCAAAATGGTGAAATCCTGTCTTTACTTAAAACAAAACACAACAAAAATACCACACCACACACACACACACACACACACACACACAAATTAGGTGGGCGTAGTGGTGAGTGCCTATAATTCCAGGTACTTGGGAGACTGAGGCAGGAGAATCACTTGACCTGGGAGGCAGAGTTTGTAGTGAGCCAAGATTACACCACTACACTCCAGCCTGGGCAAGAAGAGCGAAACTCTATCTCAAACAAACAAACAAAAAACAAAAACCAAACTTGTACAGCAGAGGCCATAGAACAAGAGAGTAGGCTGAGCTGCGGGAGTCATTAACAAAGCATAAACATAGGCATTGAGAAGAAGTTACAGAAATTCAAATAGAATCTTTTAAATGAAATATTTATTTAAAATAGAGACACCTTTTTAAAAAAGCCATGTTACTGATAAAGTATCAAACTTTCCATATAAGGATTATTTCAGTTTCATTCACCCTTGACAAAGTGTCTCCTTTGTTTATCCAGATGGACATTTTGTTTGAGCAGAGTCTCTAGTGCCCTCTGGTGAAACACCATCAAATTGCCCAGAAATGCGATTGAGGTTCTGTGCGTGACGGAAGGTGAAATAGAATGAGCGCCTACTCCAATGTGACAAGTTGCGATGTGCTGACTTCTTCCTGAGCTCAGGAGAAAGGCAGCCTCCGTGAGTGCTTCCTTCTCTCTCTTTAGGGAAAGCGTTCTTCCCACAGACACTCAGTCAAGCTCATTGCAAAATACCTTCTTCCTAAGCTTTCATCATCACTGCCTTCTAAAAAAACCCAAAAACCTGTCATACAGACGGGATAAATAATGAAAGCTTCTCAGTCGTTTGGGATGAGGCCCCCACTCCACACAAATGTAAAATGACAGCAAAAATGATAAAGCAAGCTGAATATGAAGAAAAGCTTTCCTAGTGGTCCTTGATTCTTCACCCTGTCTTCATAATAATGAAGAATATGCCACCACTCTAGTCAACTCAGGTCTACATTGTCTGGCAGCAGATGACCTTGTCCTGAGGTTTCAAGAAGCACACCTCTTCCAAATGGGGGCCTTTCCAAAGTAGACATCAACAGACTCTAAGTTCATTTCCAGACCAACACTTTGGACTTAAGATTCTTCAATTCTCCTTGTATCTTATGTGCCTGTCTATTGCTGTCATGGACTTCACACAGAATGGTGAGATCCTGATTTGCCAGGGCATTAACTGTTACCTAGGGATTTGGAAAAAAAAAAAAAAGAAGAAGAAATGGGCAGAGATATCAGTCAAAAAGACAGCTATGCTGGCTCCTGTTTGAGATTTGAGTACATAAGATAAATTCCATCCTTAGTTTGTTCAGTGGCTAACTAAAGAGGGAAAATGGAGAATTAAGGCAGAAATCTCATGAAACTCCTTCCCATTCAATAAGGAGCCTTGAAATAGAGATCAATGAAAAATGGCGGAGGAGTAAGAGACCAGAATAAGCAATACCACTGGTAAATTTGTCGAAGAATCAAGCAGGCATCTCCTTTTTCTGTAACTAACCTTGCTTGGATCATAGGCTAACTGGCTAAATCTCATTAAGAATGCCATTGAGGCAACTTGTATTCTAAAAAAGCTGTGTCTGCTGGAAAAAATTACTCTATCGCTCAATTACTCACTTTCCCCAACTGTAAAACAGACATAATTCTTAATCTACTTCTTGAATTAGGAGGGATGACAATTTCTGTTAAGTTTAGCTTACTTGGAAGTATTCACGATGCAGTCATTTAATGATTTCTTCAGGATATTTGTATTTCTCTCTAGCATGTACTTGTTGAACAATTTTCAGGGAGGCTTAAAGATGGTGATCTGTTAGTGTCTACTAGCAGGGAAACAGCGCATCCTTCTTTGAAGGAACCCTCGTGACCCAGTGTTCCTCACTTCCACCTCTTTTCTCCCTTGCGGCAATTCAGCATCCACATTACCTTATACAACATTTGCTCCAAGTCTTTCAGTTTCTATCGGAGAACCTTAGTATCTGTCTTAAAGCCTTCTACTTCCAAGATACGTCGCTGCTCCACTGCTTCATAGCGTTTTGTCGTTATCTGTAAACGTTTCCCCATCTTGTTAGCGCGATCCTAAATATGGGGAATGGGAAGGCACTTATGAAGGTGACGGAAGCATTTTCCCACTTCCTACTCCATTATAACTGGCAGACAATTCTGTACCTTGAAGATCTCACTCCTCATTCCCTCTTCCTCACAAATTAGGCAAGTTCTTCTTCTAAGGAAATGCACTGCTCCTGGTACATATTGGACAGCTTTTTCTCTTGTACTAACTTATCTTTTAGGGACTGCAAGTCAAAGGGACAAAAACCATTAATAATCAGTTCTACAGTTTAGGTAATTCAAATAGCCCTTAGATAAAGAAAGAGCGAAAACAAGAGATTTCCAAAGGTACAAAATGAGTTAAGGAACCAGACCAAGAGCGTTGAGAAACATCTGAAAATTTCCTACTTCTAGACTAGTCTCTTAAGCCCTTATTCTAAAATGTATGCAATAGAAATTCAAACAAATATTCTTGGCTCTGGGAAGAGTCAGACAATGGAGCTCAGAAGCTGTCCCAAGTAAGACATTACAGTACATGTTTTGGGCTACATTTCTAAAGTTTTCTTTAAAAAGAAGAAATATGAACAACACTTATTATACATGCTCCATTGAACAGTTAAAATGATCTTTAAAAAACCCAAATCAGATCATGTTACTTTTTTTTTTTGAGATGGAGTCTTATTGTTGCCAAGGCTAGAGTGCAGTGGTGCTATCATGGCTCACCACAATCCCTGCCTCCCAGGTTCAAGCGATTCTCCTGCCTCAGTCTCCTGAGTAGCTGGGACTACAGGTGTGCATCACCATGCCCAGCTAATTTTTATATTTTTAGTAGAGACGGGATTTCGCTATGTTGGCCAGGCTGGTCTTGAACTCCTGACCTTGTGATCCACCCACCTCGGCCCCCAAAGTGTTGGAATTACAGGCGGAGCCACCACACCTGGCCCATGTTACTTCTTTCACACAATCCTTCAAGGACATAACACTTCTGAGAGCTAAA